AAAAACAATATGTAATTATATATGGGTTTTTCAATGGTCTTAGGCAACCCCTGTGAAAGGGTCGACCCCCAAAGGGGTCACGACCCACAGGTTGAGAACCGCTGGTCTAAGGAGAGTCAGGCCCAGGCGCCATTCACCCACTGTCCCATCTGAAATGCCTGGGGCCTCTTGCAGCACAGACTGTGGGCCTGGGGCCTCCCCTGTGGTGCGCCCACAGGTCTGCACTGTGAGCAGAGACCTGATGGAGGGAAGCAGGGAGCGGCTGCTCCAAGCCTGATAGAGTCAGAGGGACTGGATGACCTTCCCGCCAGGGCCACACCAAACAATTAGCAAATCGTGGAGCCATGGTATTCAGATGCTGGACTTGAAGGTCACAGAACCGGGACCCCTGAGGGAGGGTAACCAACAGAGTGAGACTCACAGTCGGCCCGACTCACCGCCATGAGAGCATGTCCAGGCCCTGGTGCAAAAATGGAAAACCCAGGCGCTCCATGCACCCCTGAGCCAGAGGCGGCCCTGGGATTTGGGGGAGCCCCAGGCAGCTGGTGTTTATGGCCAGAGTGACAGAGAGGGGAGACCTCCCCTGAGTAACTCTTGGTCCTCAGAGGGTCTCCCTCAAGTGTCAGCTAAGTAATGACCAGCAACCCCATGTGAGCCTGGGATTGGGGAAACCCACAAAACTAGAGGGCTCATCCCAGACACCAAACATGCCTACAGCAGCGCCTATTCCCTCCTGCCAGGTGGAACATGGTCCTGATTCAGGACATCGGGGAGACCATTCAGGGGGCATTGCCTCCGTTGTGGGTAAAATTGGCCCCAGTGGTTCAGTCCTACCTGACAAAGCTGATAGCAAACTCTAAAGAAAGAGCCATTCCCAAGAATTTTTAGGATTTTCTACATTTAATATGATAGCATCTGTGAACACAGATTATTTTGCTTTTTTCTGATTTAGATGCCGTTTATTTCTTTCACTGTCTATCTGCTTTCCCAGAGTTTCCAGTCCTATGGAGAATGGAGGTGGCACAAGTGGGCATCCTTATCTTGTTTCTGATCTTAGAGGAAAAGCTTTCAGTCTTCCAAAATTGAGTGTGATGTTTGCTGTAGGTTTTTCACACATATTCATTTCTTTATTCATATATATTTATATATATGTAGTTTTCTTCTAGTTCTAGTTTGTTGAGTATTTTTATCATGAAAAATTTTTGAATTTTGTCAAATGTGGATTTGTTGGGGTTTTTTGCATCAATTGAGACGGTCATGTATTTTTCCCCTCATTCTATTAATGTTGTATATTACACTGATCAACTATCATATGTAGAACCATCCTTGCATTTCAGCAATAGATGTCTCTTGGCCAAGGTTTATATCTCTTAATCTGGTGCTGAATTTGATTTGTTAGTAATACTTGTGGGATTTTACATCAATGTTCATCAGGAATGTTGAACTGTAGCTTTCTTTTCTATAAGTGTGTTTGTCTGGCTCTGGTATCAGAGTAATACTGGCCTCAGAGAATGAGTTAGGGCCGTGGTCGGCAAACTGCGGCCCGCGAGCCACATGTAGCTCTTTAGCCCCTTGAGTGTGGCTCTTCCACAAAATACCACGTGCGGAACCGCACGTACAGTGCGATTGAAACTTCGTGGCCCATGCTCAGAAGTCGGTATTTTGTGGAAGAGCCACACTCAAGGGGCCAAAGAGACGCATGTGGCTCCCGAGCCGCAGTTTGCCGACCCCTGATAGGGAGAGTTCCCTCTGAAGTTTACAGTGACCTCGGGATGAACAAAAAATCCTTAACTTGATATAAGGCATCTATGAAACTCTCACAGCCAACACCACACTCCATTGAAAAGACAACGCGTTTCCCTGAGACTAGGAACAAGACACAGATGTCCCCTCCCACCACACTATTCAGCCTCATACTGAGGGTCTGAGCCAGAACAAGACAAGAGAAAGAAGTAAAGGGCATGCATATTGGAAATGCAGAAATGAAGTGGTCTCTATTCACAAAGGACATAATTGTCCACAAGAACACCCCCAGGAATCTGCAAAAGGTCTTCTGGAAAATGTAAGAGTTTGGCAAGGATGAAGAATTCAAACTTAAAATAGGAAAAATTTATTGTGGTTCTATATGGAGGTGGGCAAAAGTAGATTTACAGTTATGAGTACATGAAACAGAGCTTATTCTTATGTTATTGTTTGTTTTTTAATAATTGTATTATTGATTTGTATTCTTTGCCTCCTTATTATTGTTATTATTTTGTATCCTTACCTATGATTTATATTTTAGCTAATGATGGCTGATAATTTAATATACTTTTGCCCACCTCCATACAATATTAATAAATAATTGGATTTCAAACTTTTTGTTTAAAACTATGACTTACAACAAAATAAAAAATGAAAAATAGCATAAATCTAATATAATGAAAACTATAAAAACACTGATGAAATGAACTGAAGAAGACATGACTAAATGGAGAATTAGACCATCTTCACAGGTAGAGATATTGTGATGTCGGTTACCTTCACACTGATCTGTAGATACAAGGCAATCCCAATAAAAATAGCAGCAGGATGTTGTTGTTGTTGTTGTCAATAAGCTGAATGTAAAAGTATTTGGAAAGGCAAAGGAGCTCAAATAGCCAAAGCTATTGTCATTCTTGCTGTTGGAGACCCTCGTCCATCTACTTTCCCCTTTAGTGCGTTCCTCTGTGGCTGGTGCCCCCTCCTCAGCCGCCTGTGTGTGGGGATGTCCAGCAGCGATGAGCAGCAGAGCCCCAATTTCAGCCCCTGCTGCCCAGCCTCTGACTCTGGGATTCAAACCATCCCTTGCAACGTCAGGGAGAACAGCTGGCAGTGGAGCACGGCAGGGCAGGGGGGGCTGCCAGTGCTCCCCCACTCCAGATGTTTCCAGGGGTGTTTGCTTGGGAAACACACACAGGGCAGGGGGCCAAGCCCCTCTTCAACAAAACAGACTTTTTACAAGCAGCAGACTCTTTCCTGGAAATAAACCAGAGGAAATACGGGCGCCCACGACTCAGCTCAAAATATCAACAAGGAAAGGAGGCGTGGGGAGCCTCCTGCTTGGAAAACAAACACCCAGGAGGGTATAAAAGCCAACAGCCCTGGGCATCTTACACACTCACACTCACTCACACACTCACACACTCACACCCTCCTCCAGCCTCTGCCCCACCATGGCTGCATCCGCCCTGTCCGTCTGCTCCAGCAACCGGAGCTATGGGAGCCGGGCCTGCCTGCCCGGGTCCTATGACTCTTGCACGGACTCCTCCTGGCAGGTGGACGACTGTCCAGAGAGCTGCTGTGAGCCCTCCTGCTGTGTCCCCACCTGCTGTGTCCCCAGCTGCTGCCAGCCTTCCTGCTGCACCTCCAGCTGCTGTGTCCCCACCTGCTGTGCCCCCAGCTGTTGCGCCCCGACCTCCTGCCTTACCCTTGTTTGCACCCCAGTGAGCTGTATGTCCAGCCCCTGCTGTCAGACGACCTGTGGGCCAAGCCCCTGCCAATCAACCTACACCAGCTCCTGCGTGTCCTTGTGCTGCCAGCCCTCCTGCTGCACCTCCTCCCCCTGCCAGCAGGCCTGCTGTGTGCCCGCCTGCTGCACACCCGTGTGCTGCACACCTGTCTGCTGCAAGCCCCTGTGCTGTGTGCCCGTCTGCTCTGGGCCCTCCTCCTGCTGCCAGCCCAACCCCTGCACCTCATCCTGCTGCAGACCCTCCTCCTGTGTGTCCCTCATCTGCCGCCCCGTGTGCAGGCCTGCCTGCTGCGTGCCCACCTCCTCCTGCTGTGGCCCTGCCTCCTCCTGCCAGCCCAGCTGCTGCCGCCCGTCCTCCTGCATGTCCCTGCTCTGCCGCCCTGTGTGCTCCCGCCCGGCCTGCTGCGTCCCCACCTCAGCCCAGACTTCCTGCTGCTGAGCAGGCATGTCCTCAGGGCCAGCAGGGCTCAGATCTTACCCTGTGACGGTGGTTCTCCCAGCCACCCCTCAGTCAGGTCCTGACCTGTGTTAGATGGCTGTCCCTACTCAGGATGGGGTCCCCCAGTCTCCCCTGTCCTGAGCTGACCTCTGCTCCCGGAGCCCTGAACCTCAGGGCTCTTGCCTCCCAGGAGGAGTCCCCACCTGCCCCTGGGTCACCTGCCCCTCCCTTCCAATTTCTCTGTCCATCACTTGACCTCCACTCTCAACCTGTCAGCACCTCCTGGTGCACCCCAATAAACTCACTTCATCACCTGAGCGCTTCCTTCCGCTGATTTCATTGCCGCGGTGGCGGTGGGCGAGAAACAGGGTTCTCACCAGACACTGGTCTCCTCCAGCCGCGAGTATTTCTAGGAACGAGTGGCCGAGCGCTCACAGCGCCTAAGTCCTCTGGGCGGGGCACTGGGTGGGACTCTCACCCCGACCTAGGAAGGTCCGTGAGGGAGTGGCCAGAAGACATGGGACCCAATCTGAGCCAAGTGGGTTTTGCTGATTAGGCATTAAATTAATTATGAGGAATGTGGAGGCTTTGAACTTCTTTAGAATAATAGTTGCATGGAATTTGGGTCGCAGTGTGGCATGGACAAAGGCTAGTGAAAAATGACACTAATTATCATCCAGGTTTCATCACTTTCAATCCTCTACTCTTTCAACTGTGGCCGCTAGGCATTTATAGACTCTACATTGCAATTGCTTATAGGCATGTATACATTTCCCTGCGCAGTTCGAGTGGCTGGGGTGGCTGGGGTTTGGGGTTTGGGGGTCACCTTGTGTTTGACGTCACCGTTGTGGAGGGGGGTGTGGGTTTTAAATGGTGGTAAAGCACACAGCACCTGAAGCTCACAGTTTTAATCATCTTTACGAGTTCGGCTCAAGGGCATAAGCAGTCACAGGTGGTTGTTGTTGCGCCTCATAACCACCCTCCATCTCAGAACTTTCTCATCTTCCCGGGATGACTCTGTTCCCATTAAACATCGGCTCCTTTCCCGGCCCCCGGCCCCTGGTGTCCACCTCTGCACTCGGTGTCTGTGGATGCCACGGCTCCCGGGTCCCCCAGTTAGTGAAATCCTAAGCCTTTGTCCTTTTGTGACTGCTTGTTCCGCTCAGCGCAATGTCCTCGGGGCTCGTCCATGTTGATGCCAGACCTTCCTTTTTAAGGCTGAAGACGCTCCATTTGGTGGCTGGGCCGCATTATGTATGCTCCTCCCTTCATCCGCCGGTGGGCAGCTGGGTTGCTTCTACGTGCATAATGCCCTTCTGAGTAACGCTGCAGGGAGCACAGGTGTCCACGTGTCTCTCCGAGACCCAGCTGGCCGTCCATTTGGATTTACAGCAGATGGAATTGCGGGATCGTACGGTAGTTCCATTTGTAATTTGTGGAGGAAACGCCTACTGTTTTTTATAGGGGCTGCAGCATTTTGCCTTCCCACCCATGATGCACCAGGCTCGCATTTGTCCAAGTCCTCACCCACACGCTGCTTCCTGTGTTCCTGATCCCGGCATAGTCATGGGTGCGAGCAGTGCTCCTGGCTACATCACACACAGGGTTGTGGCAGCAGGCCCTGCGCCGTGAGCCCTGCCCTTCCCTGCCCACCTTCACCGCCCACCCTCACTGCCCGCCCGCACCTGCCCGCACTCACCTGCCCGCCCTCTCTTGCAGAAGAATGAGTACCTGTTCACGGTGGTGGCGGAGGGGCCCGATGCGCTGCTGCTGGGCCTGCGGTACTCACCCACCCGGCTGCACTTCTCTTCCTCAGCCAGGACTCGGCGGCGCCTGGCAGACCCGAGTGTCCTTCCACAGCCCGCCTGA